CGGCAACAGATCGCAACCCTCAGTGTCGCCCCCGTACCGGACCGGGACCGGCAACGGGATCGCAGCCCTAGGTGTTGCTCCCGCGCCTCGCTCAGCCAATGAGCGGGAACCGGTCTGTATGTGGGATCCGAACCCTCGGTGGGAGCGCCGCCGCGCTTCCCAAGCGGTGCACTATAGCAGTGCGCCACCGGGCTGGCCCCTTTCTCTTTGATTTTATTATGAACATTTGGCATATCTCTTTATTCTTTCTTTCTTACACTCAGGCCTTTATTTTAATCCAGTGCTATTTCAGCATCATGACCTTTCCCCTAGAATCAACCTGACTGAAAATCACACTTACTTTAAAAAAGACACAGGGGTGGGGGTGGGGGTGGGGAAGGATGAGTTGAAATTCGCATGAGATAGCAAATTAATAATTTAAACACCAACAAGTCTGGCTTAAACTCCAAACAAAAATACTAGGTTGTATAAAAATCAGAGAATTAGACTAAAGAATGGGAACGAACCAATTTCATTCCCTGGCTTTGGAAGAAATTATCAATTAGAATGCAGTACCGACTAGGAATTGGTATCATGAAGAACTTGAAAGGGTATTTGGTGCCACCTACTGGAAATGAAACAGTAAGTACAAAACAAAGGTTTGGGGGGTTTGTACGGTTTTCCCTCCTAGAAATTATTTTACACAAATGTATACAATGACCAGTTAATTAAGAAGAGCTGAAAGTACAAGTTTTGAAGAAAGAACTAAATCCTAAGGTGGAGTAGAAGTGGTGACCTTCAATACCTAGTGCCTCAAAGTCATTACAAAAGTGTTAACTGATTGATAGGCAGAGCCCCCAAAATAAAAGTTTAGAACTCTAGAATGTTTGAGACTGAATTTTATGACCAGAATTTAAAATAAAAATCCATGTGCAACAGCATAAACGTGGGATGACAATAGTTTACATCTTCAAGTATACATCAAGATAAACTTAATAGAATGGAGAAGTACAGTTGAAAATGGGGACGAATGAAGACATAAAATATTATCAGATAATCTTTACTAAGTCTCTTAGAAAGTTAAGACCCAGGGCTGGCTGGTTAGCTCAGCTGATAGAGTGTGGTGCTGAAAACACCAAAGTCTAGAGTTCGGATCCCTATACCAGTCAGCTGCCCAAAAAACCCAGAAAGCTGAGACCCAGTCTCCCCCTCTGAGGGGCTTATGCTCCTGGTGGCATAGGATAGTATGTTAAAAGGCAAATGACAAAGCAGGTTCATCACATGCTACGGGAGTTCTGATGGAGAGATGCCACTTCAGTGAGCACCTCAGAGTGACAGGGAAGATAAATGTTATAATCCATAAGTATCTAAAAGTTCTAAAACTGTGGGAATTAAAACTCCTATTTGTAACCGAGTTTGATGGCTCATAACCACTATTACGTTAAAATGAATTTTGTTTATAAGTTTTTGAGGAATATCGTTCCTCAATATGTAAAAAAATCAGGACTGAGTTTCTGTTTCATTAACATCAATCCTCTTCTTTGTGGCAAT